GGCTGGGGCTCTCATAGCTCAGCCCCCCCCCTCCACCTCCCAAGTGCTTTTGCCACATCATCGTCCAGTTGGGAAGTGCAGACCGCAGACTCTCCCGCCCCTGGGGTATTAGAATATAGGATGCAATGGGGCGGGAGGGGAGAGAGCACAGAGGTTGGGGGCTGAGCACAGGCAGGACAGCATCTCGCCACCTTCAGGCCCTAGTGGGAATCACTCTGGCTGCCTGGCTTGCCAGGTGGGTTTAAACTTTATGGGAAAGGAGCGATCAGACAGATAATCGGGGCTGGAGACAGAGCAGGGAGTTATGGGAAAGGCTAAAGCTGTGGGGGTCACTGAGCCAGGGGAAACACCGTGTGGGATAAAACCTAATAATCCCTCTCGATACACTCCTGTCTGCCCTGCTCTGCCTCTCCCACAAACACACCCCCATCTAGCTGTTTGAATGGGGAAACTGAGGCACAGAGCAGGGTAAGTGACTTCTTCAAGATCACATAGTGAGTGAATGGCCAACCTGGGGATAGAACCCAGCAGTCTTGACTCCCAGCTCCCCTGCTCTAACCCACTAGACCCCACTCTTAACTTGATTCTTAGCAGAGGAGTGATTGTTTCAGATGTTGTATCAGCCTATTAGCTCAGAGTCTCTGCACATGCGGGCAGGTGTTACTGTGTCCCTTGCACTTGGGCGGCTCTCCCTTCTCACAGCAATTGGCTCAGGCTCTCTGCACACTCAGGCAGGTGTTACTGCATTGGTCAGTTACTCTTGTTTCTGTGGTTATTGCAGTGACCACAAAGACTAGAAACATTCTGTTAACGCAGGTTCTGGCTCTGGGGCAGTGGATCTGGGGTCCTGGGGCTCTGGGGAGTGGTTCTGGGGTCGTGTAACTGGCAGGACAGGGGGGAGGAAGTGGCAATGCTGAAAGAGGTGGGCATGGGGGATGTTCTTAGCTTTGGCTGACTTCTTTGGAAAGCAGCCTTGCCGGCAGCTGCACACTTCAGCTCAGAGCAGGGCATGGCCCTGGGCAGAGACCATGACCTCCAAGGTTCTTAATGCCAGTGGGTGGGTGCTGTGCTAATGGGGACGGGGTATGGTGGGGATTAGCAGGCTCTGATGGCTGTTGTCAAATGCAGGCTCCCTTGACTGGTTGGGGGATGCTCCAGCAGGAGGCGCTGTGCTGCCTGGGCTAACAGGGACTCTAGTCTCAGTGTAAGTTCCCTGCTGAGGTTCCCCTGACGCATCCCCGCACAGTGTGTGTGAGCCTGCACGGCCGCCTGCTGCGGGGGGAGGCAGGAGCATGTGAGCACTCAAGCCCTCACTCTGTGCTGGGGGCTGCCTTGGCCTGCTCCCTGCCCCCACCCTGCCCCTCGCGTCTCCAGAGGGCCCCTTCTGCAGCTTGGGAGACAAACCCCTTTTGGCCTGCAGCCCAGCTCAGCACAGGGACCCACCATGTACAATGCAGTGCGATGGCTGCTGTCTGACAGGCCTCTGCCCGACCCCCTCCCTACTCCCCTATTGCCTCCTGCGGCCACAGCCAGAACCCCCTCTCCTCCCCCCCATGCCCTGCATGGCCTGACCAGAACCATCTCCTCTCCTCTCCCCCCATACCCTGCCCTGTGGCCCCAGCCAGAACCCTCTCCCCTCCCCCATACCCTGCCCTGTGGCTCCAGACAGAACCCTCTCCCCTCCACATCCCTCCCCCCCACATCCCTGCAGCCAGTGTGCCCTCCCCCATACATGCCTTTATCTCTGAATGCATGCATCCACTCTCCTGTACACATTTATCTATTCATCCATCCCTTCAAGTCTTGTCTCTTTCTTTCCCTTCCTATTTCATTCCCCCTTTCCCCCGCTTCCGTGTTGTCCCTTGGGGTCACCCTTTCTAAGCTCTTCTCTCCCAATCACTCCTCTCCCTCGTACTCCAGGTCTGGCTCGGAGCCTCCCATGGGCGGCTGCTCCATATGGGGTGCGAGCAGATGGGACTAAGGGGGATGGATCCAGTCCAAGGTCATGGATCTTCACCAGAGAGAAGTGCTTACGGAGGGGCCGAGAGGCGGGCAGGGGGATTGGGTGGGAGCCAGGCAGTGTGCCCCTGGGGTTAGCAAGGAATTAATTGCTCCCCCAGCTTGGCCCTGCTGAGGTGATTTATATCCTGCCAACACAGAGCCCTGTAGAAGCAATTTAGGAGCCTGGCTGCTGTGAGGGAGGCCAAGGGGTCGAGTTGATTGGCTACTTAGCACTCCCTGTGCGGTGTGGGAGCAGGCTGGGACAGCCATGCCCCCCAGAGGGTGCTGTGCTGCAGGGAGCAGGCAGGAGCCCAGTAGGGGGCGCTCTCCCCTCTCAGGCCATGCTGACCCCAGTGCCCCAGCATGATGCTAGGGGCGCTGTGCTGTGGTAAGCTCTGGTTTTCCAATGCGACATAGAGCCAATGTGAACCCTTGTGTTCATTAAATCCTCAGGCATTGAACCTGGTGTCTTGGCAAAATCCCAGATGGGTGAGTCCATTCTGTCTTGCCGCAAAAACTGTTGTTTGAATTTGATATGGGATTTTCCTTCACTATGTGTCCACAGAAGTCAGGCTGTGTTGCTGTGTGGGAGTTAAACAATGCAGCATCCCACCCCAAAAGTGGCTGCATCTCAGTGCCAGGCGAGAGATCCCTGTGTGAACAGCCCCCACTTCCCATCCAAAAATGTCTCCCTCCCAACCTTACTGCTCTTCTGAATACACATCTCTCAAAGTCACCCTCCTCAGCTGTCAGATGGGCACATGAAGGTCTCACCCTAGTTCCTGTGGACACCAGTACCAGGAGCCTGCTGGCAGGCTGAGGTGGATCTGTGGCTGGTTTTTAACCCCTTCTTGGAGTGAAAGAATAATTTGTTTCATTTAGATTTTATAACCTTTGCCATAAAGAGAGGGAGAAAACGGAAAAGCCAGGCCGACAGTGCAGAGTCCAGGTGCTGTTAGGAACAGAGTTATAGAGGTGCTGTGTGTGACATAGGTCTAGTGGGTCAGGGGAGTGTGTGTGCTTGGGGGACATGCTGTGGTGGTGTTAGACTGATCTGAGATGCACCTTCTTCTGGGGTGATGCGGTTGCAAGCAGAGGGAGAGTTTGCTTTGGGCCTAGGGCTGTGTCTGAAGTGCAGAGGAGAGGGGTAGGGAGGCCGTGTGGCCTAGTGGGCACTGGTCTGGGACTCCACTGACCTGGGTTCCATTCCTAGTGCAGCCACTGGCTGCTGGATGACCTTGGGCAGATCACATCTCTGCTCTGTGCCTCAATTTACCCCTCTGTAAAGTGGGGTTAATAATGCTGACCTGCTCTGTAAAGTACTTTGAAATCTACTGACGAAAATCCCTAGATCAGAGCTACGTATTATTATTGTTTTACACTGAGTTAGGTATGTGATGTAAAATCCTAGGGGAGACAAGGCACTGGAGTTTTCATCATCAGGGTCAATCCTGGTGTGCTGCAGTGTGTGGTCACTCTCCTCTGGCAGTCAGTGCTGACCCCAGTGCGGCAGCAGGGGACATTGTGTTGCAGTCTGTGGAGTGGGAGGCTCACTGGGGGGTGCTGTCCCTAGGTCAACCAGTGACACTGATGTAAAAATGCCCCGTGGTTTTGCCCAAGACTCTCTAAGTGGAGTCGCTCCTAAGTGCGATGTTACTCCTGGCGAGCCAGGTGTTGGTGCTTGGGCTGAGCTGCCTGTCTGTGGGATGATTTCATGGCGCAAAAAGCCGGCTCTTCAGGAAATTGTGTTTTCCCGAGCGGGGGATTGTTAGGGAACCAGCCCCCCTGGCCTCCCCCAGTCCCTGTGTCCTGACGGGCTCTGATTGCTGCCACGAACGGCTGGCGCTGACACTAACACGATGATTGCGGGGGCCGGGCACAGGCGAGACAGGCAAATTTGTTTCCTCAGCATCACCAGATGGCAAGTTAATTGTCAGGTGCCAGCAGCGGAGAGGCACTCCCCTCACCAGCGGCGTTGGGCCGGAGGGTGGGGGTGTCCCTGCTGCCAGGGCAATAGCTGCTCGGGGAATGGGAGATGGGGAGTGAGAGCACACTCAGACAGACAGACAGACACATGCACACGTACAGTGACACCACTGCTTGAATTACAGACTCTAGGCCCCCTTACTACCTTTAGGGGCTACCTCGCTTCTACCTGAGGCTCCCTGTACCTGTTTAAATTCAAGCAGGCCCCTTGACAGGCAGGGCCCCCCTCTTTTCTTCCCCATGCTTTGAGCACTGAGAGACGTGCACAGACACACACAAAATGCTTTAGCGTAGAGCAGCCTAGGGGCTAGCAAGGGGGCCAGGCCTCCTGGGTTCTGTACCAGGCTCTGGGATGGGAGTGGGGTCTAGCACGCGGGGGACTGAGAGCCAGGACTCTTGGGTTCCATCCTTAGCTCTGGCAGGGGAGTGAGGGCTGCTGGATTACAGCAGGGGCAGGCTGGGAGTCTATTTTCAGCTATGCCACTGACTTGAGTGAGTCACTTTTCTTCCCTCATTGCCTCAGTTTCCCCACCCACCCTTTGTCTATTTAGACTGTGAGCTCTTTGTGATACGGATTGTCTCTCTCTGTAGGTCTGTGCAGTGCTCAGCAAAAAGGGGCCCCCAATTTCGGTTGGGGGATCTGTGCGGCACCTGGCACGATGGGGCCCCGGTTACAGTTGAGTCCTCTGGGCTCTTCAAATGAATAATAACGTAGACACAAAATGATGATGATATTTACACACCCCTCGTGCACCTGCCCTCTTCTCGCACGCTCTCATCGCACCTCGTGCACACACACTCTTCGTGCATCTGCCCCCTTCTTGCACGCTCTAATCCTGTCCCGTGCACACACACTCCTCGTGCATCTGCCCCCTTCTCGTACTCTCTGATCCCGCCTTATGCACACACACTCTGTGTGCTCCTGCCCCCTTTTTTACATGTTCTCTAAACCTTGAGTGCACACACCCTCTGTGCACCTGCCCCTCACTCTGTGCCACTTTCTCTCTGTGCAGGGAAGGAGGAATACGTGGCGACCTTCAAGGGCAACGAGTTCTTCTGCTACGACCTGTCCCACAACCCGATCCAGAGCAGCACTGATGAGATCACCCTGTCCTTCCGCACCCTGCAGCGCAATGGCCTCATGCTGCACACGGGGAAGTCGGCCGACTACGTCAACCTGTCGCTCAAGAGCGGGGCCGTGTGGCTAGTCATCAACCTGGGGTCAGGCGCCTTCGAGGCGCTGGTGGAGCCCGTCAATGGCAAGTTCAATGACAACAACTGGCATGACATCCGGGTGACCCGGAACCTGCGCCAGGTATGCACCAGCGCCAGCTGGGACCCACGTGGCTGGTTGGGACGGGGGGGCTTGCACTAGTGATCCTCCCTGGGCAGTGTTGTCTATGGTGTGCTCCCGCTGGCATTGCTGGTGGGATGTGCCCCAGTGATGTTCCCACCAGGGCAGCATTGTCTGTGGAGCGCCTCCACCCCATGGCATTGCTGGGGGGACGTGCCCCCAGTGATGCCCCCCCCCAGGGCAGCATTGTCTGTGGTGTCCCCCTGCCCCATGGCATTGCTGGAGGGACATGCCCCAGTGATGTCCCGTCCCCCCCAGGGCAGCATTGTCTGTGGTGCGCCCCCACCCCATGGCATTGCTGGGGGGACATGCCCCAGTGATGTCCCGTCCCCCCCAGGGCAGCATTGTCTGTGGTGCGCCCCCACCCCATGGCATTGCTGGGGGGACATGCCCCAATGATGCCCTCTCTGGACAGCATTGCTGGGATGGGAATTGCCAGCCAGCCAGAATGCCCTCCCCCAAATATTTCATGGTGCCAAGGGTGGGTGCGGGTGGATGGGCCATGGTGCCAGTGGGCAGGGGGTAAATGGGCTGGGAGCTGGGCTTGGTTCTTGTTTACTTCTTTGGTCCCCGGCAGTCCAGATGCCAGCAAGAGGATGTGTCGAAACAAATTCACCTAGGGTCCCCTCAGCCCCCTAAATTTCTCCCCATCCCTTCTCCAAAAGAGGAGCATTGCCTCCTAAAGTATACCCCGCACCCAGAGACGAGCTAGCGTGGAGAGGGCCACAATGAGCTAGTGACACCTCCACAAGGTGCCTTAAATTCCATGCACTGAGCTCAGGGCACTGCCCCATTGCCCCCTGGGGGTCCTGAGCCTCCCCCAATGAAGACAAGGGGCTGGGTGTTGCAGTTAGCCACCACAGCTAATAGGAAGACTGTTCTGTGGCTGATTTGGGGAATGGGACATGGGGTCTTTCCCCTCTAGGCGGTTTTGGCTCCAATCCAGCCCCAGGGAGGGGCTGGCTTGGGAGGGAGGACTGGGAATGGTATATGGACCTCCCCCAGAGCTGGGGAAAGAACCCAGGAGTCCTGATTCCAAGTTACCCCGCTCTAATCCAGTAGACATCACTCCCCATCCGGGAGCCAGGCAGAGAGCCCAGGAGTCCTGACTCCCAGCCCAGGCAGAGCTGGGATATGGGCTGCGCTCTACTGATGGATCCCTCTATGCCGGGCTGGCCAGGTGTGTCCTGGGTATGGGTACTGTTCCCCCCACCCGTGGGTCAGATCCCCCCTTTGTGGCTGGTGCGGGTGAGAGGAATTGTTGCCTGTGGGCATTGTGGCCCATGCGCTCTGCATAAATCCACCCGTTGCACTGATCAGAGCTGGCAGCTCCCAGTGTCTTTGGATATCTGGACCTGCATGATGCTGCAGTGCAGGAGCCAAGGTAAAATGGATGGGCGCCCTCCCGCCCCTTGCCTCTCAGGGCTCGGCATGCCCCCCGCCCCAGCCACTTATCCCGCTGCTAAACACCCACTAATCTCCCAGCAGTCTCATGGAAGGGACTCCTGGGTTCCATCCCAGCTCTGGGAGGGGGCTGGGGTCTAGTGGTTAGAATGGAGGGGGACAGGGGCTGGGAGCCAGGACCCTGGGGGATTTGGGGAATGGACAGAGCATTGCGTTGTGTTGGGTGGTTATGCACCACGATATCCCCTGGCTTAGACACCCCACTCCTCTCTATGGTGTCTGGACTGCAGGACCCCTTCCACCCCACGGGACAGAGACCACTGGGTCTGACCGACCAACTGGCTAGGCTGTTCTTATTACTTTGTGACTGTTTGGGGGGAGCCTCATTCTTAGGCACTGTCTGGTGACTCATAGGGAGTTCCGGGGGCAGGGACAGGCTGCATTGAGGCCTGGGGGATTGGGGGTGAGGATGAAGTGGAGGAGGTTGGGGGGTGGATGGAGTTGCAGGAGGGATTGGGTAGGCAAAGAGGGAGGGCTTTGGGCAGTGGGAGGAGGAGCTGGGATGGAGTGGAAGCTCAGGGAAGTAGAGGAGTTGAGGTGTGGGTTGTAGGTGTGTATTGGGCAGGTAGGGAGAGTTGGTGTGAGGGGAGGTGTGTGGGGTTGGTATGTACTGGGGGGAGGTGGGGGAGGTTGGGTGGGGGTGAGGGGGAGGTTGGGTGGGGGGAGGGGAGGTGTGTGTGGGGAAGCTAGAGGAGATTGGGTGCGGGTGAGGGGGAGGTGTGGGGCTGCTGTGTATGGGGGGATGTTGGGGAGGTAGAGGAGGTTGGGTTCAGGTGAGTGGGTGTGTGTGGGGCCGGTATGTACTGGGGGGAGGTGGGAGAGGTTGGATGGGGGTGAGCGGGAGGTGTGGGGCCGGTGTGTACTGGGGGGAGGTTGGGTGGGGGCGTGGGGGAGGTGTGTGGGGTTTGTGTATACTGAGGTGGTGGAGGAAGTAGAGGAGGTTGGATGCGGGTGAGGGTGAGGTGGGTGTGGCTGGTATGTACTGGGGGAGGTGGGGGAGGTATAAGAGGTTGGGTGGGGGTGTAGCAGACATGGGGAAGATGGTGAGGGTGTAGAAGAGGTTGGGTGGGAGTCCAGGGAGTGGGTGCATGGGGTGCATCTGACTCACCCCTCCCCCTCCCTGCCTGCAGACTGAGGCTCCCCCTCCATACTGGCTTCTCCTTCTAACCTGGTTTCTGATTCTTTCCCTTTTTTGGACTAAAGTTAATTAAGAAAAATAATTAACAAAAAGCAGGACAAATTTTTAACAGTCTCAGGAACTGGAGTGGGGGAGCTGGTTCCTCTCCCCCCCAACTTGCCCCCAGCACTCCCCCAATAATACACTCCTCCTCACACAACATACAAGATAAAATCTGGACTCCCCTGGCTGGGGATACAGCCCACTCCCCCACTCTCTGCTGACCCCAGAGCCAGCCACTTAGGATCTACTAATCCTGCTAACACAGGCCTTGCTTTTCCTCCTTCCCCCTCCCCACCCTTCACCCCCCAAACCCCCCACCTCGTTAGAAATTACGTTGACAACTTTTTTGTGTGTGTGTTACTAACACGCTTCTTGAAAGACTCCAGCTCTCAACCAGAGACGCCAGAACTAACCCTCCTTGTCTCATCCAATGGAATGTCGGTCATTTCTTTTCAAGTCTTTAATTTAAATAGTCTCTTTTCCTTTCTTTTATTCTTACTAACCAAGATCTCTCTCTCTATAATACTTTATGGTTGGGAGGGGGAGGAGTTTGGTCGGGGGGTGGTGGGGGAGAGCGGGATGTGCAAGGGGAAGGTGGGTGGAGTCTTTTTAAAAACAAACAAACCTGATCGCCCTTCTTGCGATGGGAAAATTGATTTTTTCCCTCTTTTATCTCCCTTGATTTTCATGGTTGGTCATTTTTTTCCTTTTCTTTTCTGTTTTTTTTATTATTCCCCCTTTCCCTCATTTATTTTATTTTTTTAATACATATAGCACGCAGGAATTGGACACGCTATGGTAAACAAACTGCATTACCTGGTAGATATCACTCTAATTGTCTAATCGTTTGGTTTGCCGTGGGTTTTATCTTTTCCCTTCCCTCCTTTTGGTTTTTACTTAATTAATTGGGCTTTTAATTATCATTATTTTAATTTCTTAATTTTTTCTTTAAGTACTACACAAGAAAGTGAAATATAATTTTCAAAACTTAAAGGTTGAAATAAACTACCCAAACACACACAAAATTAACAACTAAATAATCAAACTGTGATAAGTCTAAAATCAAGAACTGGAAACAAACTGGTCAGCCACTCTGGAGTCAGTGCAGAATCAACCCTGCTGCCAGAGCAGAGTTGGCATAAAATGAAAAGAATCAAATACTCACCGTACAATCAAACTTAGGTTGGTGTAGATTGAAAACCAACCAATCGACCAAACCAAGGTTGGTATAAAGTTGACATGAACCACAAATCAATGTCAGTATAAAATTGACGATATCCAATACCCCGGGTTGGTATAAGATTAAAACCAACCTACCAAATGTGGTATTAAAAAAAATCCATTGTTTTTGAACCGCTCAAGCTTGTAATTAAATTTTTTTTAACCAAAAACATTTTTTAAAAGTCTTTTTCTTTCTTTTCCAAAAGCAACATTTTTAAATTTGTTTATATTTTTATTTATTTTTGGGGGGAATTTTTTTTTCTTTTCTAAAAGCAAAATTTTTTTAACTTTATTGGATTTTTTTTTCCAAAAATAAATGAAAAAAAATAAAAATATATTATTTCTTTATTTTTACTCTTGGTTTTACATTTTTTATTCCTTTTACCTCCCCCTCCCCCTCAAAAACAACAACAACAACAAAAAATCCATGGAAAACACCATCCCATGAAGCAACTTCTGTGCGCGTCACATCTGCTCCATGGCGGCGAACCCGCCAGGGATTGTGGGAAATGGGCTAATGGCAGCCAGTGGGGTCAGGACCAGAGGTTGATTGGGGGGTGGGAGCAAGGGGGCAATGAAAGATGGACCATTAATTTGGATGTTTTGGGGGTGCAAGCCACATTTCCCCCTCACCTTGCCCCTCTGCACTATGCATCTGGGGTAGTTCCATGGGGTTATCCGCTCAAACCTTCTCCAAAGCTGAGTCTCTCCATCACTCTCAGTGGGTTTTGGACCAGGCCTATAAGGGATGTCCCCCCAGCCCCATTGGGAATCCCACCCCAAGGGTGTGGCTGGCTGCAGGCTGGCCTGTTAACCCCACTGGATGTCCTGGCTGTCATCCCGACTCCCGCCACGGGTGGTGCCACTGGCCCTCCATATCGCATGGCATGCTGGGACTGACTGGGGCATGCTGCTCTTGTGTCCGGTTTTTATTTTGAGAGCGACTCTCTGGGGCTGAACTAACACTGTGTCTGACACCATCCTTCCCACCCTCCTCCCTTCCCCTTCCCTGCTGTCCCCCACCCCACTCCTCCCACAGCTCTGACTGACTGCCAGGGCCTTTCTAACAGGAGCACCGTAGTCTGGGCCAGTTCAGGAAGGATGTGGGTCCAGGGACCATAGCTCCAGCCTATGTGTGATTAGGGAGTGTGCGGGGGGGTGGGGGGAGTGAGCACATGGGGCATGCTCATTGGGGGTGCTGTGGAGTCTGTAGGGCGTGTGCACTGGAGGGCTGTGAGCCTGTAGAATATGTACACTGGGGCAGGGGATAGTAAGCCACTGAATAAAACAGTAACACGTGTACGATGGAAGCCAGGCATTCAGTTGCCAAACGAGGAGGCACTGCTGCATCCCCAGCACCCCTTGTTCCAGTGCCCTGCCCGGGGGGAGAGGGGTGCATTGGCAGGGTGAGCTTGTAGGGAATGTGGAAGGAGGCATATGAGTGTGAAGGGTGTGTGCATGGCGGTGCAAGTGTGCAATGATGTGAGCCGGGGTGAAGGAGTGTAGGGCATGTGCATGGAGGCATATGAGTGTGTAGGGTGAGTGCATGGAGGGGTATGTGTGTGGGGGTTTGTGGGAAACATGAAGTGAGGGTATGAGTATGTGAATGTGTAGATCTGTGCAACTTTGCCATGCTCTGCACCAGAGGTGGCTGCATGTAGTATCTCTGGGTTCTCAGTGTTAAGGTCCCAGGCGACGCCATGGAGTGTGTGTGCGGGCATGTGGGGAGGTTCACAATTGACACTGGTCTGTGAGTATTACATATCCCTCCCCACTGGTCTGGGGGACTGAGACAGCTACCATGGTGCATGATTCCCTGGGATGGTGCCAGCTACCTATAACCAGCCCATTCCCCTCTATCAGTGCAAGGGTAGCTCTCCCTTCTGATCTCACCAGCCTGGAGAGTTTCCAAGACTCCATGTGTGAGCAGCAGCCTGCAACAGTCCTTGCGATATGAGTATCTCGGGGTGGGGAGGGAGCCTGCGAGTTGGGAGACACAACCCCTCCCCATGCATAAGTGGGTGAGGGATGATGGTGATCCACTAGTGTGATGTGTGTGAATGAAACACATCACATTGCTGTCAGTGCACGGTGATGAGTGTGATTGTTCAGCAGACTTGTGGCCTCTTGTGCTTGTGCACACACAGGGGGACAGCTTCACATGGGTCCTCTTGGGGTGGGTGATGGTGCAATGGATGTGTTGCCCCTGCTTGGGCATGTGTGTGCAAGCTGATTGTGGATTTAGGCATGATCGTGAACTGACATTGCCCCTGAGCGTGCAACACTGATTGTGGAATATAACACACAGTTCCTTTAGTATGTATACATGTTTGTGCAGCCAACACTCTTCCACTCTGTGTGTTTGTGCAACTCACACATTGCTGCTGAGTGTGTGTGTTTCTGTGCATGGGTGTGCAATTGCACAATGAAAACCTTGCTCCTTTACGCTTTTTTGTGATTGTGCAATATACACACTCCCCCTGGGTGTGCAGGTGTGCAGCAGCGACATCCGACTCCCTTGAATATGCATTTTGCCCATTACTGAAAAGCCAGCACCTAAAATCTATGCCCAGAGTTTTAGGATTCAGATAGGCAATGTGATGGGAGGAAGGGGGAAAGCGCACTGGTGTGTATGGTGGGGGGGTAATAGCTTTGGGGGGTGTGTGTAGGTGGAATAGCTCTGGTGCGTGTATGCAGGTGTGGGGTAATAGCTCTGGTGCCTCTCTGTGTGTGTATGTGTGCACGCGTGCATGCACAGGTGGAATAGCTTGGGTGTGTGTATGCAGGTGTGTGCGGTAATAGCTCTGGTGCCTGTGTGTGTCTGTGCAGGTGGAATAGCTTTGGTGCATGTGTGTGTGGAGGGGGAGCATGCTGGTGTGGAGGGGAATACTATGGGGTGTATGGGTGTATGTGTGGAGTAGATCTGGTGTGTGTGTGTGTGACAATAGCTCTAGACACGTACACGTGTGTGGGGGGCTATAACTCTCAGGGCAATAGCTCAGGTGTGTGTGTTGGGCAATAGCTGTGGTGCGTGTATGTGGGGGTGAATAGCTCTGATGCATGGGGGGGGCTGGGAATAGCTCTGATATGTATGTGGAGAGGGCAATCACTCTGATGTGGGTGGGGGGTGGGAATAGCTCTGTGTCAGGGACTGGGAGTCAGAGCCAGAGTCAGGATCAGGGCTGGAGCAGACTGGAGCTGGACAGGAACTAGGCAGGAGTAGGTCTGGAGCAAGGGTGGAATGAGGCCGGAGCATGGCTGGAGTAAAGCTGGAAACAATTCATGCACCTGCTGCTGCTGAGATTAAATGAAGACCTCTTGGCTCTTTTCCAGCCAATCAGGTGGGCCGGCCAGTCAGGCCCAGCTGGACCGGCCAGTCAGGCCCAGTTGGGCTCATTAACCTGCCTGAAAGCTGAACCGGCCAGCCCTCAGGCTTAGCCGAGGGAACGTAAGCCCACAGTTCCTGACATACCGACCCCTTTCAAGGGTACCTTCTAGGGGCCCTCAGCCTGTGCTACTTGGGATGGGCCTGATGAAAGTCCTGTAGTAACCGTGGTGCATGAACTTTCTCTGCCGGTTCCCATGACTGGTCATTAGGACCATAGCCCTCCCATTTCATTAAGTAATGAAGCTGGCCCTATACTTGCTTGGAGTCAATAATTTGTTGGACAAGGTATTTTTCTTGTCCAGGGACTGCAGTGGGTAGCAATGACAGATTGTATTGACCTGGGAAGGGGTGCATAAGAGGGAGCTATGGAACACCGGATGGGTCTTCATTGACTCTGGTAATAGAAACATGAATATCTCTGGGTTGATCTGCTTGAGAATCTTGAATGGGGCTAGCTATTGATGATAGCTGGGTTGATCTGAGATTTCAAGTTGATAGCCAGACTTTGTCTCCAGTGCTAAAGTGAGGTGTGGCATGGTAGCCCTGATCAGCATAACACTTGTAGGTTTCCTTGGAGGCTTCCAGATGTTCTGTAAGTTCTTGTTGCATGTGATTCAGATACGTGACCGGTCCGCCGCTGCAGGAACTGGGGAGTTTGTGGGCAATGGTGGGTGAAAGCAGAGATAAAAGCCGTAATTTTTGTGGAATGAGCTCTATTGGGTGGAGGCATGGATTGAATTGTTGTAGGTGAACTTGACTTATGACAGGAGGGAGACCCAATTATCCTGGTGATAATTTAAGAACCACTGGAGGTATTGCTCTATGATCTGGTTTATCTGTTCTGTCTGTCCATTGGCCTGAGGTAAAGAGCTCTATATGCAGGAGTTTTAAAAGCCTGTGCCAGAAATGGGAAATAGATTGTGGGTCTCTGTCTGACACAGTGCCAGTCAGCAGTCCCTGGAGCCGGAAGACATGCTTTAGAAAGAGGCGGGCTGTTTGCAGGGTTGTAGGGAATGTGTGAGAAGGGACAAAGTGGGCCATTTTAGTTAAGAAGTCAACTGCACCTAGCACCACTGAACAACCATGGGAGCAAGGTAATTCTACAATGAAGGCCAGGGACTTGGTGGACCAGGACTACGATGGGGTGGGCAAGGCCTGGAGGAGACCAAGTTGTAGGAATTAACATATT